CACTCAAATTACGATTATTATTATAATCACAAGGAAAGAGACAGAACAAGAAAAAGAATTTCAAGAGAAAAAGACAGTATTGAACCAAAAACTTCAAAACGGCAATGTCGTCGTAGTAATTCTAGTTCTGGTTCAGCATTTACGCCAACAAATCAACTATCTGTTGGCTTAACATCAATTCCAAACTCCAAATTATCTCCAAATATTCAAAAACAAACTTCTTGTCCTGAGTCGTCAAATATTTCTACAAATATAAGAAGTAAAAGGACAAAGAATAATGAAATTTTCAGTTCATACAGTTCTAGTATACGAATAATGGAAAAAATACAATTGAAAAGTTCCATTAATCAGTCTGCTAAAGAAAAGACTACTGAGAATGCGGAAAAAATATTTCAAAGCAATTCTTTGATGGCCATTCCAAGAAAGGGAATATCTTATCGAAGAAATCTTCTCATATATACCTCTCTTGGAACTCATACACAAACTGCATCTATACCTGCTCACTTTCCTACGTTAGAAGAACGTAATAAAGATAAAAAATTGGAAGAAAAACGACTGGATTGGTTGTTGTCTGGAGTAAAACAAGCCTGCAAGAAGAAAGATTGTGCAAAAGTAAATGATAGTGGTATTTATTGCGGTCGCCAACTAGGCATGGTTCAATATCAGAAAACGTCCAAACAGGAATTTGCTCAGAATCAAAAAATGGGTCTAAATCACTCAAATTACAATGATTATTATAATCAGAAACAAATAGATAAGAAAAGGAAAAGAACTTGAAGAGAGAAAGACTGTATTGAACCAAAAAGTTCAATACATTATTAATACATTTCATTTATTATATATTATATAAGTATTGTTATTATATAAATTCATTTTCTAAATTATTTCGATATTGTATATATATTACAACAAAATATTAATAAATAATATTTATTAACCACTCAGTTTCCGATCAATTTTTAATTAATTATAATTAAACATAAAAAATACTTAAAACTGAAAAAAACGAAAGAAATGCGTTAATTTTGAAGGAAAAGCTTCAAAATTTAACGTCTTTTGTCTCGCCTTTCTGTGAAATTTGACACTGATGAGTCATTGTTTACACAGCTGGATGACCTTGAGAACAGCTGGAGTCGGATTTCTAGGGACATTCTCATACACGTCTCGGGAGGACAAGGGTTTAAAGTAGGGTAAATACTAGCTAACCGTATATTTTTAAATATTTTTAAAAAATTAAAATTTTTATTGCGATTTCCGACCCCCCGATTTAATTAAACTTATATATAATAAAATATATTAATTAAAAAATTTAAAAACTATTGGAGGTCGTTTTTGACATCAGAAAGTGGCTTTAAATAACTTTATCGAAGGAAAATCCGTGCACTACAACTTTAGAACGATGAATGAAATTTGATATCAAACTCCCATTAAAAACAATAAAGCGTGAATCGCGCGTCATTAAAGGTTGATTAAAATCGCGATATTTAATCGGTAACGAAAAGTTCTTTATGCCTTATTTTATACATAATCAATTTTAACAATGCATTTTCAGTAGTTAAGTCTCTTTTTAGCAAACCCATTGTGGGTTCGGCTAGGCCCACAATGGAGCGGCCGGGTGGTGAGGGACGGTGCCCCGATATATCCGAACGGACCAGGTCGTGAGGGACGGTGCCCTGATATATCCGAACGGACCACCCCCCGAAAAATTCCTGGGATATTTCGGCCCGTTCGGATTCGAACCTGGGTTCCCCAGAGAGGTAAGCTGCCACCTTGACCGCTCGGCCATCCGACCTATAAGGGCTATATGGTAAGGAAATAAGCTCGTGTCTGGAATTTCTCAGTATATCAGTATTATATTCGTTTTAAAAGTCGTATCCTTTACTTCCAGTTTTGAGTATTAAATGTTTATGCTAATTGTGTACATATTATAGAGATCAGAAGGGAAAATGTACAGGTTTTAAACAGACCAACGTTAAAAATTATGTAAATAAAATGAATATTAATAAAATAATTGATAAACATTTTTATTAAAAGAATTTTTCAAGAGAACATTGAAATGAATTGGATAATTTACAAGAAGGTATATTTAATAACCTGTATTCATGATATTTTTCAAATAATTCAAAGCCGTTTATTCGTTACTATCGTCATCCTTCAATGGAGTATTATATCTATTTTTTCTACTCGGAGCTGCTCTTAGTATTGATTTTTCGGATTTTCCGACTTTTTCAAGCATTTCTGCCCCAGCCATTTGGGATGTAAGTGTATCTGCGAGAACTTTTACTTCGGTTACTATTCCTTGGCGACTTTCACCCTCGCTTGGTTTTTCACCTTTACTTTCTCTGATCTGTTCATCTTTATTAGAAGACATTTCTTCTTGTAACGAATCTTTCTGGTTTTCATTCATTTTTACCTAATACAAAAACAATAAAAAGTATTTTATGTCTAAAAAAATATCTACAAATATTCTAAAATATCTAATATTCAATGTTAAATATATTATACTAAATTTCTAATATTATATATTAAACTGCCATTGAGTGAGTCTTTCTCATAATTTGAAACAGGATTAATGTGTCTTTTTTGCTTATCAACAATAATTCAAATAAACAGAATTTTCTGAAATACCATGGATGGTCTTTAACTTCTTTTTGAAAAGGGTCATGTAATAACTGTAAAATACAAGTCTGGGACAGAGTACAAAAAGTATAGTCAAAGATTAAGTTATATTTATTGAGCGTAGTGAAGCGATCTTAGTGATGATTTTGACATTTGTACGGCGGTTAACTCCCCCAAAACCGCTTAACCAATTTAAGTTATTTTTTGCAAACAGATAGAATCCACTTTGGTCTAGGTCATGACTCAAACGGCATTTTAAAATTCGACCTGTGACCGAAGATATACGATGTCAAAGTTTACAATGTTAAGTCTATGGTCAAGTAGTGAAGCAAATTGTCTTGCCTACGCGAGCAAATCTAGTTTAGGTATATTATTCATTTAGTTATAATCATGATTTAGATATCATAAAGTCTCTTACTATTTTATTTTTTACCTNATATTCAATGTTAAATATATTATACTAAATTTCTAATATTATATATTAAACTGCCATTGAGTGAGTCTTTCTCATAATTTGAAACAGGATTAATGTGTTTGTTGTGCTTATCAACAATAATTCAAATAAACAGAATTTTCTGAAATACCATAGATTATGGGTCTTTAACTTCTTTTTGAAAAGGGTCATGTAATAACTGTAAAATACAAGTCTGGGACAGAGTACAAAAAATATAGTCAAAGATTAAGTTATATTTATTGAGCGTAGTGAAGCGATCTTAGTGATGATTTTGACATTTGTACGGCGGTTAACTCCCCCGAAACCGCTTAACCAATTTAAGTTATTTTTTGCAAACAGATAGAATCCACTTTGGTCTAGGTCATGACTCAAACGGCATTTTAAAACTCGACCTGTGACCGGAGATATACGATGTCAAAGTTTACAATGTTAAGTCTATGGTCAAGTAGTGAAGCAAATTGTCTTGCCTACGCAAGCAAATCTAGTTTAGGTATATTATTCATTTAGTTATAATCATTTAGATATCATAAAGTCTCTTACTATTTTATTTTTTACCTGATAGAATGCAATATGTATTATATATATAATGAATGAATTAGTACTATAAATATAAACATAGTAATGCTACATCACTATAATAATTCAAATGAATTACTGATTTTAAAAGATTTATTTATTAGACGACTTCGTTACAGTATTTCTCGTGTTCTCCATCTTTCTCTATGCATCCACATCCTATAGTTCTATACAATTAATGTTTTCTATACCACTAAACACAAACAGTTTTTCATATATTTACACAGCAACTGCACTAAAATAGATTTCTCAGATAAAAACAGAACTAGAAAGACAGTTTTATTCATTCAAAAAGTTTATCCACGACCAAATAAATATGGATATAAATAAAAAGTTTCCGAATAACTCGAATAACTGAATTATTTGCAACATATAAATTTTAACTATTTCATAATTATACGCACAAGTCTATTAATTAAATAATCACAAAGCATTCTATGTATATAGCCTATTTAATTCTTTTTTAACTTACAATTTTCAATTAAACTAAACATACAACGATGTTATATATTATCACTTCTTTAATTTTCTTATAACAAATTATTTAATTTAGTTATTAAATAAGTTTTAATTCTACTTACCTGAATTTTTGAGATGATAATTATATTCAATAATGCATATATTTTCTTTTAAACTCAATAAATATGTCCGTTAACTGTATATAAATTAGTTTATCAATGTAATGCTTGAATTTATATATGTATGATTATCAATACGATAACTTATCAGTTGATTTTAAACATAATTTATCAATTTTGCTTATCATAAAATTGGAAAAAAATATTATTTTCTTTTAGTGTTCTCAATTTTCAATGTTTAGGTAGAGTATAGTACATATGAGAGAACTAAATCCATATTTAGTTGCTTAGAAACTAATCAGATATATAATTATATTATTTCATTATCTAAGATAATAAAATTGATAATATCTTATTTTTATATTAAACTGGCATCATATTTCGAAATATTTATTCCATTCTATAATTTTTGCTAGCCATTCATCAGTAGGTTTAATAAGCCCTCCATAAGATAAATGTTATACCCATGACAGAATGCTATAGTTGTAATGATTTTTAATTTTAATTATATAGTCCTTGGGTAGAGTATAGTACTGTACATATGAGAGAACTAAATCCATATTTAGTTGCTTAGAAACTAATCAGATATATAATTATATTATTTCATTATCTAAGATAATAAAATTGATAATATCTTATTTTTATATTAAACTGGCATCAATAAAATGATTTTAATGACAATATCAACATTAAGTCAACTTTCTGTTTATACTCTAATATATCGAGAATATTGTCATATTTTAAATAAATAAAAAAAAAAACAATACTGTACAATAATTTAAATAACTATTCTAAAGATAATTTAATTTTTCTGCAATTTAGATGCATATATTGATAGTACGTAGTTTATTCTGATACCAAATGTAACTATAACTGTATAAATGTAATTGAACTTCAATTTCACACATTATCAAAACTCAAATTATCAAAATTTACGACATAATGTGAAATTATAAATAATAGCAAAATATAAGATAACTTAGTCATAATGTGATTATATTATATGATTCACAATAATAATAACAACATATATTGTTAGATCTCAGTGCCCATTGTGAGAAATGAGTAAATATATATTTACTCATTTCTCACAATGGGCACTGAGATGACCTAACAATATATGTTATTATGTCAAGCCCATCGTGATAACCGGATGAGAAATGACGGTTAAAGTGGCATATGTTGGATTAAAGATCATATTAACTGCTCTCTGGTTCCCTACTGTGGGCCTGGCCGAACCTACCTTGGACTTGCTAAAAAGGTTCTCTTAGTCCCCATGGATTAAAGAGGAAAGAGAGTTTTAAAAAAAAAAAAGATTATCATGAGTTCGGTCGGGTCCCAAATGGAGAGGTCGCGTGATGAGAACCCGATATATTCGGGACAGACCATATCGGAAAACTCCTGGGATTTTTCAATCCGTCAGCATTCGTTCTTGGTCCTCCAAAGCGGAAAGGTGTGCTGATGTCTTAATCGCTTGGCCTTCCGGCCGGCTTTTAAAATTGTCAATCAATATAACTTTTAAAAAAATGTTCACAAGAAATTAACAGAAAAAAAACAGGGATTCTTCATCATTCGTCCTTTTCACAACTCAGAAACAAACTGTCTTACAGATGAAGGATGAAGAATCACTGTGTTGTTTTCTCTTAATTTCTTGTAAAAATTTTTAAAAGTTTTCTTATAAATTTTTAAATATAATTATCATCTTGGCTATTTATTAGTTTTATTAAAGAATATTACTGTTTTATTGATCAATGTACAAAGTGCATGTACTTAATAGTGCAAAGAATTATAGGTTAAAAAGCACAGAAAAGTATGACTTTAATATACACTCCTTTAAAACATCACGAAGGAATGTGCGTAGCCAGATGCACATTGCAAGACCGTTAGAAGTGACAGAGATATACAAATGATTAACAGAACAAAGATATGTAACATACACCTGTTTATTCAGTAACGAATATGGCCCCTACAGGCTATAGGCCGCTATATGGCGAGGCATACTATTAATGAGGCAATTAATTAATGGTTGACTGAAGTATCCCTCGTCAAACTGCGTCCATTGCGGTGTGCAATGTACAGTACATGTCGTCTACGATATATTGCGGTATATCCGGTGCATCTCACGTCGGACGAGGTGTTTGATGGGAGAGAGATCCGGCAAGGTTGCCGGACAGGGAAGGAGCCTTTAGGCTGGTGAGAGCGCCTAAAGCATGCGGTCGGGCATTATCTTGCTGGAACACAGTGTCGGATGCAATCTGCACCTGTGACTAAACTAGTCCCTACAATTCGTGTGATTTTAGTCAGCATACGACAAAGTTGAATTGAACAATGGACAAATATCGTTAGTTTCTTTTATTTTTGCATAATATAAGTTACGAATTTTCTATTGTTTGAGGCCCCTTAGGAATTATGAAAAGGGCAGCCGAGACGAAAAAAGGACACGTGCCCCGTGCCCCAATGTACGGCGCCATGTCTGCCATTCGTGATATAGGTTATCTTTGTTTTTTTTTATAATTAAATAATGACATTTGTTGTTTTAAATGAGGTTATGTCGCGCATACTTTGCTGATTGCATATGTGTTTATTATAACGAATAAATTACTCGAAGAATTTTATAATCCGCGATTATTTACGCGAGCTTTAACATTACCCTGCAAATAATTGTAAAATATATAACAAAAATAACTGTTATTGTTATACAGTACGTATTTTATTTTAAATAGCACTATAATAGTGATATATTCCTATCGTTACTTCAGAACATTCAAATTGCGCGGTATGAAAACGTGAGTTGTCATTCAGAAAGTCCTAAATTTCATCTAATTTATAGATTTATATATGTTATTTGCTTTCAGACTTTATAAATCCACCTTCTATCCGTGGACTGTCCTTATCGATGAATTGTTTCTATTGTAGTTACCCTGAATAAAAATCTGTGTAACGTCATAGTATATTCGTGCAAAATGACTTTTTGATCCTTAGAATTTACACATGCAAAAATATCTATCACTAAAATGAAAATTCAGTTTTCTATTTTCCATTTTGACTCATATTTAAGATTAACCTTATTCTACAATAATTGATATTTAATACAGTATATGATATCAGATGTCATCTGGCCATCTACATGATATTATATACTGCCGCCGAGTGGTTAAAGACCCAGATTGAATTCGAGGTCGAAAAACTTCAGAAATTTTCAAGGATGGTTGTATCGTATATCTCGGATCCTTTGATCACCAGATCTCATTGTTACCCCTCATTGTGGGCGAGCGTGGCTGAATCCACAAAGGGCATGAAAAACGCCTTTTTAATGTCCACAAGATAGGAAGTGTACATTAATATGCTGCTGTTTAACATGCTTGGTACATTTAAAAACCTTTACCATCAACACTAAATTACGGTAAAGCTTTTTAAAGGTTCAATCAGTTAAGGATATTTCTCAGTAACACATGCATTAATTCAAGCAGTGTCTAATTCTATCCCTTTCAGATTGACTTTTATCACTTATGAATATTAAATTTATTAAATTGATCTCAATATTGCAGAAAACTTTATAGCATTTATAAAATAATTCTCAGAAATAATTTCTGATTAAACAAATAAATAAGACCAATTTTTAAATAAAACAACAAATAGTTTTATTAAAGTAATTTAGCATAATTTTCTAAATTATTTACCTTGAATATAAAATATCTTATCATCATTAATATTTAATATATCTTTTCAAAATATAATTCTACAGAATAAATATACGTTCAACCTTAGTTAAACTTGTAAAATAATAATGATCCAATCATAAAGTTCCATTTATAATAAAAATTTATTATAATTTAATCATTTTCTTGACTATCAATTTATTATTATTTTTATACTTCTTTTTTTTTACATTTGGTTGTATTAATATATTTATTCTTTTAATAAATTTATACTATGAATGTACAATATATACATATATAGTTGATTTATAATTCCATGATATATAACAGTCAATGAAAATATTTTTAAACATGTAATAATTTTTAAAATTTAAATTTATAACTTCAGATTTTTTAATATGATTAAAAATTCCAAAAATTAACTACATTATTTGGTTTCAGATGTTTCACACGAATCCTTTCTTTCGCTTTCTTCTTTCTTGTGTGTCTCTATAAACTGGCGCAATTCAGCATTTAATGAATTATTCTGTTGTTCCAGAACATCTAAGCAAGAATTAAGCTGATCCATTGCTAGATTTAAAGCTTCATATTCTGAAATTCAAAAAAAAATTAATATAAATGTAGGACATATTCAAATTTTCATCTAATCAAAATAAAGTTTTATATTCCAAAATTTATAAAAGAAAATATCTATATTCTGTACCAAGCCATTTTCTAACAAATTTTTAAAATTTTAATTGTATTATTTTATATTTTAAATATGCACTTTAATATATTAACCTGAAAAAGTATTTGTATTAATTTTAAGTTAAAAAATTAAATTATAATTAAACTTACTAAAACTTTGTATTTACTGTGTAGTTTCAAAATTCTAAAAATAGGATTTTATACAGGTATACCTCACCTTACGTCAGTAATTGGTTCCAGGAGAGGCGACGTAAGTCGAATTTACTTGTCTCCGAATCTACTTGTCACTAGGCTAAACCATAAATTACCATTCCTGGTTCTGTGTTTTATTTATTAATGCATTTTTAATAATATATGGTTATTAAGAAGGATGTATTTTAAGCTTACAAACAAATAAATTTTAGTTTTTAATATAGTACAGAAAAAAGTAATCTAACTTTATAAGTGCATGTACTGTAAATACAGTACATACTTGTAAATGTATATATTTTAATATGACTTTATGTGCTTTAAACGCTTTTCTAGTAATATTATGACTTCAATATTTGTGGCAGACAGACATAAAGTCTAATAAAATGACTTAAACTTGATTTTTATTTTTCCATATATTTTTTGACAAACGACGTATAATCGGGAACGACGTAACTTGAAATGACATAAGTCAAGGTATACCTGTACTCTAAATATAGATATATTATACATAAATATAATTTGAATTTTTATATCTTCTAACAACTACTACATATAAAAGCCAATTCTTTAATTCACAAAAAGTTGTTTTCAGCTCTGATTGAGCTCTCTTCAGTTTCAAATACAAAATATTTTACAAACTTCTCCAAATATGGTATGAAATAATAATAGAACAAAACCTTCAGAAAGTTTGTCATAGAATAATAAATTGATCCATGTATTAGAAAATACTTTTAAAAATTTTTTAAAGTTTATAATATGACATAAAAGCTATTTGTGGATATATTGTGTATTTTACATGCTTAAAAATTATTCTTTGGCTTGTAGTAGTATCTATGTAACATGTGATATATTGGCACTTATTTTATTTTGAATATTTATAAGAGGAGAGTGTGAACACAGTCCCCAACTACCACAAGTTACATGCTCCATCTGCCCCAGTTTAGGGTAGTGGCAGGGGTCAGGTTTTATGTCATATTTTAAAATTGTTTGATGCATGTTTTATAAAGTACTTTAAATCTATTACTCTATAACAAATTTGATTAAAGGTTTTATTCTACGGAAAATTTAAAAAATTTTGTTCTATTATTCCATAATAAATTCAGAGAAAGGGGAAAGGCAAAAGCTATAAAAGAGGGTATCATATGTATGGTACATTATATAAAATACACAGTAAATATATAAATATATATACACTGTGGGACGATTGTTCAGTCAAGCATATATTATATTTTTCATAAGTTATTTAGTTAATGCATTTAAATTTAAATTTGTTCCCAGAATTCTTCAAAGGTTAAAATTTAAATGGCATGTTCTGTTTGTGGAACAGTTTCTAAAACCGGTTTTAATTAATTAATTAACAAACCTGATGACGGCCTATAGGAGTAGGCTAAAAAAGTTAAGCTTAGTTCACACTGAGCGTGATTCACTAGTGAAAGCGAAAAACAGAGCAAATAACCCATCAAACAAATCATGTTTGACCAGTTATTCGCTTTGTTTTTCTCTTTTGCTAGCAAATTGCGCTCAGTGTGAACTAAGCTTTAGTAATTAAAAATTTGCTCTCAACAAGTGTGGTTGTAAATTTGTTAAATTCCAATGATTGACCCTAGTAGTCATTCATTGGTAGCTGTTCATTTACTGGTTGAGTCACTCTAGCTCAGGAGTCGCCAAACTTTTTTGATCATGACTCCCTACAACTTTTCAAAACCCCACATAGACCCCACCGAAAAGTTGGTAACACAAACTTTTTGGTCTATGTGGGGTTTTGAAAAAGCAAGAAAAAAAAAAGCTCTTACTATTTTAATACATTTCTTTTACATTTTTTACATTTATTGTATCAATATGTATGTTAATAATAATTTTTGTAACTGACAATCAATAAGATGGGTCAGCTTGATGATCATTAGCAAGATTAGCAACATTTGTAAGTTTTCATCTTAAATCACTTGCAGTTCCAGATTCAACTTCTTTATTTGTTTGGTTAAGGTGGAATTATCATGGCTGAAACCTGCTTCAACCATAATACCATTAACTTGGAAATGCCAACAAAAAAAAATATACCATATCATAAAATTTTGTGTATTTTTGTGTTATATTTATATTTCCAGAAATTGCTCAAATTTAAATTTTTAAAAAGCATCTTTGCTTTAAGGTCAGCTAATAATTCAATAAGTTCATCTTGCAAGTTGATGTCAACGTTTTCGATTTGAGCAGAAAATGGCGCCATAATCCATTCTGGAATATCGATATTTTCTAAATCTGCAAAACTCTGTAGTATTAAATTCATTGAAACAATATTCAAAAACATAATATGTATAGTTATATTTATGATTTTTAGTTCTAATTTTTCCATTGACCCTCAATAATGTTATATCAACCACTTTGGCAATTCCTGCTCTAGCTCTATGATACCAATATATAAAAAGTTAAATATATTTTAGTTTACAATAGTTAAATCCATTCAAAGTAATTTATAGGAGATTAAGATTTTATAAAAAATTTTCTTCTGATTATTAAAGCATAACAGGAGACAAACTTATTTACTTTTTATATTTAGTCAGAAAATTATTGCAAAAGGATCAAGAAGCACAGTTATTTTTTTAGTTCAAATTAGTTTACATATACAGTATTTAATATTACAATCTTGTCATAATATGCATCAATTGCCACTAGCTATCCAAGGACAATAAAACAAATTGGAGACAATAAAAAAAATGCCTTTATTTAACAATATTCTAAGACTCTTACTAAAAACGTCTTAACTGAAGAGGGCTTAAATTTGATAGAAGGCCAAAATGCATTTTGATAATTTATAAAAGAGAATATTGTTAAATAAAGACATTTTTTTTATTATACTCAGACAGACAGGCAATTGATGCATATTATGACAAGATTCTTGTATTAAATACACATAAATTAATTTAAAATATTTATTAGCCACCCTGTAAATATAAGGCAACTTTATTATTTGCCTTATTTATTTTATTTTTTAGTTCAGTTTCTTCTTTCTAGTTTCAACAAATAGGCTGAAACTAAATGAAATTGTTTAATTAAAAATACTTACAACTTATTAAACAAAGCAGTAAATGAACTAGTTGTTAAACCAATGCTGGTTGAAAGTGCAAATGAGTTTGCAGATTGCAAGAAATAGATTTAACTTTATTACAATGCTGAAGTATTGTGATATTAAAGCTTGATGTTGAAATTTCTGAAATCATCCACTAAGTAAGATTATCTACCAAATAATCCACCACAGTTGAAAATGCCTGAAAATTGGGTAATTACCTACACATTAACAATGTTAATGAGGATACGTATCATCTTGAAAAAACATTTAGTTCTTGTACATTGTAAATGTATAATTTCAACAAAGATCTGTAAACTTATTGAAACTGATCAATTCAATTTTAACTTAAGATTCAAAACTATCTTTTTCCTTCTATAAATAGGGTAACTGTATTCTTATTAGTTTAACTCTATAATCCTTTATGTCAGGTATAGTATTTCCTACAGACAACAAACATCCAATGGTTTAACCACATCTAATTTATTAATCATTTTCTCTTCTACATATGCATTTCAGATTGACAAATTCTCAACCCTTCTTCAGTGCCATATAATTTGTACGTGTTTTCATAAAAGAACAACCTAGGTGAAAATTCAATTCTAATTACAAGTGCAAGTATAATTTTGAATATGTCGTAATCGTACGGGGATTATTGGACAGTACATGTTATATATTTTAATGTTTTATTTTTATCTTGGTTTGTTTATAATATATTAAAAATGCTCACTTATTCACTTTTAAAAGAATCAAACCACCAATTAAAAACAAAATTGAATTTTTACCTATGGTTGTTATTTTATGAAAACACATACAAGTTATATGGCACTGAAGACAACTTGAAAATTTACATCAACCCAAAATGCATATATAGAAGAGAAAATTGATTAATAAATTGTGTGTGGTTAAACCATTGGATGTTTGTTGGCTATAGGAAATACTATACCTGACATAAAGGATTATAGATTTAAACTTATCTGAGTTTAAAAAAAATATCTTTTATATGTATTTGTCTGTCAGTCTTAGTTAGAGTTATATAGTTAAATAAGTTAGAATTTAATCCGAAAAAGACCCAGGCAATTGTATTTAATAGACCAGGTGGAGCAAATCTTTATCTACGACCACCCAGCATCAAAATGAATGGTAATACTGTAAAAGTCAACAAAACTCTAAAATATCTCGGAGTAATTTTAGACTATCGTCTAAATTGGGATAAACATATTGAACATATAACTAATCGAACGGGCCTTATCCTCAACTCATTTTCTCAAGTAGCCAAACGAGATTGGGGACTTTCGACTGGAGCCATGTCTACCATATACGACAGTTTATATCTCCCAATAATATCATATGCATGCGGAACTTGGGGTTGGGCCACGGAAAAAGTACATTCTAAAAGAAGGTTAATATCATCGCAAAGAAGGGCTTTATTAATAATAACCAAAGCATTCCGCACCGTAAGTAACGTCTGCCTCCAAGTAATTGCCAAGAAACCTCCCCTAGACTAACATATTAGACAAAAACGGAAACTACAACAAATTAAATGGGGAACAAATATTCAAGTTGACTCCATAAATATTTAACATGATGACATTGAATGGCCTTTTTGTTTTCGAGAAACAAACAACTATCATTCCTCTGTAATGTAATAACATACAAACTCACAATACGGATATGGATATCTTCACAGACGGCTCAAAGCATGATGGAATGGTAGGATCTTCGTATGTTGTATATATCAATAACATTGAAGCGTATAATAAAGTTTTTAGACTACATGAAAATTGTACTATATTCCAAGCGGAACTATATGCAATCAAGATGGCTATTACATGGATAAAAGAAACCCAAAATAATGCTTACATACATTTGTACACTGACTCCTATTCAGCTTATAATATAATTTTTAGCTCCAAACTACATCCCTTAGTTGAAGAGATTAGAAACTTACTACGAATCTCTACGTGTACTATTAAAATCCTTTGGGTTAAAGCACATCAAGGAGTCACCGGTAATGAAAGGGCGGATATCTTAGCGAAGCAAGCTGCGGAAAACACGAATCTATCAATTGAATATAACAAACTTAGTATGAAGACACTAAAGCGCTTGATATGGGAGGAAACTTTTATGAAGTGGCAAAACGATTGGAATGAAAATAACTCCCATATAACGTACAAATTTATTCCGAACTTAAAACAATTTTATAATTTAAAGTGGTTCTCCCCAAACTACAATACGACACAAGTGCTCACTAATCATGGCAAATTTGCTTCTTATTTGACACGATTTACTAATAGAGGGAATGACTTATGCCCCACATGTTCCATAACTGATGGATCGGAACATTACCTCTATCACTGTGTTATGTTTACTAGAGAAAGATTAGAATTGAGACTTCTTATGGAGGAACGAGGCATAATATGGCCAGGTAACCTATCCGATATTTGGACTGATGAAAACATTTATAAAGCATTTACCAAACTTGCAAATAGCATCAATACTATCAATAGTCAAATTATTAATAACTAACCCTGTTCGTCTTTGCTTTGTTGGTTCTTTTTGACTAATATATATGCTTATTGTGTCTTGGGTCATATAGATATATCACAAACAATGTCTTACACACTATTTGGGAAACCTATTAAAAATAT